ATTCAGCTCCCTGCTTGTGGCCTGAGAAAGCAATGCAGGACGGCCCAAAGCCTTGGAACCCTGCACCCATGTGGGAGACCTGGAAGAAGCTCCAGGCTCCTGGCTTCATATCGGCTCAGCTCCAGCCATTGCAGTCACCTGGGGAGTCAATCAGCAGACAAAAGATCTTCCTGTCTCTGCTCCTCTTTGTATGTCCGACTTTCCAGTAAAAATTAAAATCTTAAAAAATATTTACATAGCAGCCAAGAAATAAAAAAGCAAGAACCTAGCTTGCCAATCAACTTCTCTATCAGCTGGGAGCTCATGAGTCATAATGAGCAACAAGAACAAAGATCAGACATACCTAATAAATGGGAAGAATATTCATAGATTTTCTGGGAAAGGGACATTGTAAATCCTCAGAAGCCATTTTCTTTTTGTCCCTTTATGGCCTTTGACAACTGGGAACTGTCAAGGGGCTCATGGGAGTGGGTGTTAGCACAGAAATTACGAGGCTTGAAATCACATAGGCAGGCACCTTGGATCTCACCAATTGAAATGAGTTAATCAGAGGAGGAGCTTCTGCTGGGGAAACCCATCCTGTTGTCAAAGAGGAGAGACACCAGGACAGGGTAAAACCTCAGGCACTGCCCTGGGTAACGTTAGGGTCACAGGAGTCGACAGTTATACTCCCGGCTGTGATTACAGCGAAAGGAGGCAGAGTAAAATCAGCCAAGGAAAACAGCATGTGGGACTAAGGTCAAGGGGAAACGAAGAACCAGCATCCAAGGACACAAATCCCTAGTGGTAAGCTGTTTTTAAGATTTATTTTCTTACTTAAAAGACAGAGTTATATACAGAGAGAGGGAGAGAGAGAGATCTTCCATCCTCTGGTTGATCCCCCAATGGCTGTAATGGCTCAGAGTGGGCCAAGCTGACCAGGAGCCTGGAACACTACGCCATGGGTGGCAGGAGCCCTTCCTAGCTGCATCAGCAAGGAACTGGCCTCACAATGGAGCAGCTAGGACGAAAACTGGCACTCAGTGTTACAGCAAGCAGCCCACTGCCTATACCACAGTGCGGCACCTGCACCCGTACCCCACTCTCTTGCCCTGCCCCAGCTGTAACACAGGTGAAGATGTTGACCATAGTTGCTCATTAGAGAGTCAGTTCCGTGTTATTTAAGGCTGGTCACATACGCTCCCTCTGCCTAGCAGCACCAAAATTTCAATCTCAGTGTAGGTGTACAGCATACACACAAGGGCATTTCAGCACGCAAGCCACTGCTAGTTAAGGTGGCTGGATTCCCCCCAAAATTCCCAATACACCAGAGCCATCCAACGGCCAACTCTGTGAGCAGACTGCCCAGGACAGCAGTCAGTCATGTATGTTCACCCTTTCAGGCAATTTAAACACATTCTACTGATTTCATGAAGCAAAGGGTGCTAAAATCTACAGCTTGCACTCCCATATTTAAAAAAGCATTTCATCACCCACTTTCCCCTGATCCTCGATAATTTCCACCCTAGTAAACCCTGTAATCAGCATCAAATAAATAAATTTAAAAATAAATAAGTATTTCAATAGGCAGAAAAAAGCATTTGCTAAAATTCAGTATTTCAAGAAAACATTTTTAAGTAAAACACAACCTGAGACAGCATCACTAGCAGAGGTAGGCACCAGGCCTAGCAATGCAGCTGCCAGCTAAGGACATTCGTGCCCCCAACTCACATCAGTGTTCTGACGCAATTCCCAGCTACGGCTCCTTCCTCCAGCTTCCTGCTAATGCAGACTGTGGAAGCCAGCAGCTGACGGTTCAAGTAATTAAGCTCCTAACATCCACGTGGGAGACCTGAATTAAGTTCCCAGCACCCAGCTTAAGCCCTAATTGAGGGCCATAGCAAGTATCTAGAGTCAACCAGGAGATAAGAGCTCTCACCAATTAAAAAGTAAGTTCAATTTTAACTACAAAAATAGGTATACCCCAAATGCCTAACTTTATTTTTTTAGTAAGCATTGTTTTGATTTTAAGCAATCACTTTTTAACAATATATTTTTATTGTCTTTGAAAGGGAAAGGGAAGGGGAAGTAGGAAGGGGGAGCACACTTCCACCCAGTGGCCCTCCCCCCAAACACCTGCAACAACTGACGCTGGGCCAGGAGGAAGGCAGGAGGCTGGAATGCAAAAATCGCAGTCCTCCCAAGAGTCACAAGGCCATTATCTACTGTCTCCCAGCACTGCGTATGAGCAGGAAGCTGGACAGGAACAGAGCTAACACACCATATGCAGCACAGCTGTCCCAAGCAGCACTTCAAATACTATGCTAAACACCTGCCCCATTATCCTTAATATATAACTAGTTTATATCAGTATCAACTAAGTTTAAATAGTATCAAAAACTGCTTCTATACAGGTCTTTCCTTCTCATGTTGTTACCATTAATTTTATCTTTACACATTGAGATTTCTTCTTTCATTACACTAACACTCTTAACAATAAGCCTTCTCGAACATTTTTCAGGTGATTTTTATGTATAAGATCATTGAGAACCAGGATAGCACTATGGTACTGTGGCTCCAAGGCAAAGCAGGTAAAGCTGCCAAAGACAGCACCAGCATCCTATATGAGCACTCCACTTGCGATCCAACTCCCTGCAACTCACTGCTAATTCACCTGGGAAAGCAGCAGAGGATGGCCCAAGCACTTGAGCCCTTGCCACCTACACTGGAGACCCAGAAGCTCCTGGCTTCAACCTGAACAAGCTCTGGCCATTCAGGTCACTTGAAGAGTGAACCAGTGGAGGGAGACCTCTTTCTTTTTTTCCCCTTTATAACTTTTTCAAATAAAATTTTTTATTTTTTTATTTATTTAAAGATTTATTCATTTTGGGCCCGGCGCAATGGCGCAGTGGTTAAGGTCCTCGCCTTGCACACCCGGATCCCATATGGGCGCAGGTTCTAATCCTGGCTGCTCCACTTCCCACCCACCTCCCTGCCTGTGGCCCGGGAAAACAGTCAAGGACGGCCCAAGGCTTTGGGACCCTGCACCCGCGTGGAAGACCCAGAAGAGGCTCCTGGCTTCGGACCGGCATAGCATCGGCCGTTGTGCTCACTTGGGGAGTGAATCATTGGACAGAAGATCTTCCTCTCTGTCTCTCCTCTCTGTATATCTGCCTTTCCAATAAAAATAAAATCTTAAAAAAAAATTATTCATTTTTATTACAAAGTTAGATATGCAGAGAGGAGAGGAGGAGAGACAGAGAGGAAGATCTTCCGTCCAATCATTCACTCCCCAAGTGAGCCACAACGGCCGGTGCTGCGTCGATCCGAAGCCGGGAACTAGGAACCTCTTTCAGGTCTCCCACGCGGGTGCAGGGTCCCAAAGCTTTGGGCCATACTCGACTGCTTTCCCAGGCCACAAGCAGGGAGCTGGATGGGAAGAGGGGCTGCCGGGATAGAACCGGCACCCATATGGGATCCCAGGGCGTTCAAGGTGAGGACTTTAGCCACTAGGCCACACCCTGGGCCCTCAAATAAAAATTTTTAAAGATTTATTTTTATTGCAGTCAGATATATAGAGAGAGGAGGAGAGACAGAGAGGAAGATCTTCCGTCCAATGATTCACTCCCCAAGTGACCACAACAGCAGGTGATGCGCCGATCCGAAGCTAGGAGCTAGGAACTTCTTTCTGGGTCTCCCACATGGGTGCAGGGTCCCAAGGCTTTGAGCCAAACTCTACTGCTTTCCCAAGCCACAAGCAAGGAGCTGAATGGGAAATGGGGCTGCCCATATGGTATCCTGGTGCGTTCAAGGCAAGGACTTTAGCCACTAGGCTACCACACTGGGCCCTCAAATAAATTTTATTTAAAAGTAAAATAAAAAGACACTATTCAAGATAAGCACATCCCACACTGGAAGTGCCCAGGTTCAAGTCTCAGCTTCCTGTTACTGTGTACACTGGGAAGCAGCAAGTGATGGCTCAGGTACTCTGCTGAATCCCTGCCACGTACGTGGGCAACCTAGACCGAGTCCCAGGATGTTAGCTGTGCCTTAACTCACCTCCAGACACTGCAAGCACTTGGGGGGGGCGGCAACCAGCATCTGGAACATCTCTCTCCTGTGCCTTCTAAATGAATAAAAACAAATTTTAGAAATTTAAGCTTTTTTTTTGACAAAACCAGAAGGCAAGGAGGGTAGTTTCCCTTCATAGGAGAAGCTCCCTCAAGTCTTATTAACGCCCGACTTCTGCAAGCAATCACTACACGTGTCAAGAAAACTAGGCCTTGGGCCTGGTGGTGTGGCCTAGCGGCTAAAGCCCTCACCTTGAACACGCCGGGAACCCATACGGGTGCCGGTTCTAATCCTGGCAGCTCCACTTCCTTTCTAGCTCCCTGCTTGTGGCCTGGGAAAGCAGTTGAGGACAGCCCAAGGCTTTGGGACCCTGCACCTGCATGGGAGACCCGGAAGAAGTTCCTGTTTCCCGGCTTCAGATCGGCATAGCACTGGCCGTTGCACTCACTTGGGGGGGGTGAATGATTGGATGAAAGATCTTCCTCTCTGTCTCTCCTCCTCTCTGTATATCTGACTTTGTAATAAAAATAAATAAAGAAAGAAAGAAAAGAGAAAACTAGGCCTCGGGCCCGGCAGCGTAGCCTAGTGGCTGAGGTCCTTGCCTTGAACGTGCCGGGATCCCATATGGGCAACAGTTTTAATCCCGGCAACTTGCCTTCCCATCCAGGTCCCTGCTTGTGGCCTGGGAAAGCAGTCATGGATGGCCTAAGGCCTTGGGACCCTGCACCCGTGTGGGAGACCTGGAAGAAATTTTTGGCTCCTGGCTTCAGACTGGCACAGCACTGGCTGTTGAGCCCACTTAGGGAGTGAATCATCGGACGGAAGATCTTCCTCTTTGTCTCTCCTCCTCTCTGTATACCTGACTTTCCAACAAAAATAAACCAATCTTTAAAAATAACAAGAATTATTAACAAAACTCAGAAACAAAGATTACTCCCAACTCCAAACTATTTCAGTTCTAAAGAGCTTTTAATAAGAGAAAAACCCCACAGTTTCCAAATGCCCATCAAGAAGACGGAACGAATATTAGTCTTGTTGGTATTAGGAAGAAATGAAATTAAAGGATAAAAAAGAGGGAGAAATGATGACGGCTGATAACTGTTCTCATCCATAAAGACAAGATACCATTTCCTCAGGTGACAACTCCTACTACCACAACGAGCAGGCAGGAGCAAGGGAACCGTCCACATCGGCCTCAGCTGCAGCATCAGGCAATGAAATGGAGTCACACAATCAGGAATGGCTTGCTAAAACGTTGAAGAAGTGAAAGACTTCATCCTTGTCAAAGACGGCCACCTCCGTGGAGCACTCGGAGCACAGCACTGGGTGGTAGGTTTCCTCCACATCCGTCTCCACCTGCTGCACAGCGTCTTCCTGGTTAGACCTCATCTTCTTCCGGCCTCGCCATTTCTTCCTGTTCTCCGGGGCTTTGTATCTTAGAACCTCCTCCTTGTTGACAGAGCAATTCATCACGAACATTGCTCTATACTGAGTTTTATAAGATTCATGCCTAAGAGGAAAATGAAATGAAAAACTGGTATTTATGTTCTATTCTAACAGTTACCCATTTATACAAAACTTGAAAATACCAAGACTTACTGAAATACCAATCAAAGGTAAGTGGTGGGAATAAAATCATAAATTCAAACGAATATTATGATATGTTTTGGCCCCGGCATGGTAGCCTAGCAGCTAAAGTCCTTGCCTTGAACATGCTGGGATCCCATATGGGTGCCAGTTCTAATCCCAGCAGCCCCGCTTCCCATCCAGCTCCCTGCTGTGGCCTGGGGAGGCAGTCAAGTATGGCCCAAAGCATTAGGACCCTGCATCCACATGGGAGACCCAGAAGAGGCTCCGAGCTCCTGGCTTCAGATGGGCTCAACTCTGGCCATTGTGGCCACTTGGGGAGTGAACCAACAGACAAAAGAACTTCATCTCTGTATATCTGACATCCCAATAAAAAATAAATTTAAAAAACCTTTTTTTAAAAAAAGAATATTCAATAAAAAAGTAAAATAAGGGCCCAGCGCGGTGGCGCAGGTGGTTAAGGTCCTCGCCTTGCACACCCGGGATCCCATATGGGCGCAGGTTCTATCCCAGCAGCCCCGCTTCCCATCCAGCTCCCTGCCTGTGGCCCGGGAGAGCAGTCGAGAACGGCCCAAAGCTTTGGGGCCCTGCACCCGCGTGGGAGACCCGGAAGAGGCTCCTGGCTTCGGATCAGCATAGTATCGGCCGTTGTGCTCACTTGGGTAGTGAATCATTGGACGGAAGATCTTCCTTTCTGTCTCTCCTCTCTGTATATCTGCCTTTCCAATAAAAAAATAATAAAAATAAATCTTAAAAATAAATAAATAAATAAATAAAACAAAAGGTAAAATAAATATTTTTTAAAAAAGAACATTATCATATGTTTTAATTTACAATCAAGTAAGAAGAAATGTACTCTCTTTAAATGGAACTTTTACTTCAGGAAAAAATGGATTTGCTTTTCAAACATATAAAGCATGAAAAGTTGATTTGTGGCCCCAATGTAGTAGCCTAGTGGCTAAAGTCCTCGCCTTGCATGTACCGGCATCCCATACAGACATCAGTTTGTGTCCCAGCTGCTCCCTTTCCCATCCTGCTCCCTGCCTGAAACAGCCCCAAGTGCTACAGCTTTTTGAGGCAGTGAACTAGCAGAAAAAAATATCTCTTCCTCTCTGTTACTGTGTCTTTGAAATAAATAAGTATTTTTAAGTGTTTCTTATAAACTCATCAAATGACTGAAGGCTAGACAGCTTCTGGGTGCAAGCGGGTCACCTGCTGGAGGAGAGCTTGACCAGAGGGCTGGGACATCCATCCCACCCTCACCTCCAGAAGGCGCGAGGGGCTGGAGACTCGGCTAAGCATCAGGGCCCAAAGATGCAACCCATCACATTTGTGCAACAGACCCGCCATAAAAACCCTAAAGCTGCAGCCCGAGCACTTCCAGGCTGGTGAACACACCCACCTGGTGGGACAGACTGCTGGGAGCCTTGCCCTATGTTCCTCCCATCTATCTGCTCACTGACAGATGATGGAACCCCCAGCTTGTACCCAAGACAAAAGAGCAGGTAAACCTGGGAATGCACAGCTTGAAGTGGCATTGGAAAGGGCTTGCACAGCTGAGGTTTAGGCAGCAGCATCTGTACCAGCTCAGTGCATGTCAGAATTAAACTGCAGGAGAGGCACAACAGGCTAAGGTGCTGCTTGGGGCACCCAATCCCCATCAGAACAAGCTACTCCGTGTTCAATCCTTTCAATCCCACTCCCCAACTAACGTGTCTGGGAAGCAGCCTCAATGGCCCAAGCACTTGAGTTCCTGCCACCCACGCTGAGATCCCAGTGGAGTTCCTGGTACCCGGCTTCTGATTTCAGCCTGGCCCAGCCCAGGACTGCTCGCTCTCACTCTCGCTCCTCTTCTCCCTGCCCCACCCCATCACTCTCTCAAATAAATAACATTTTTTTGTTTTGTTTTTTAAACAAACTAATTAACTGGGTCTGGCATTCTAGTATAATGCCTACATTATACCAGAAGTCTCAGCTTCCAGTGCTGCCCCCTCATGTGGATGCCAGTCTGAGTCCCAGCTGCTCCACTTTCAATCCAGCTCCCTGCCAATGCACCTGGGAAAGCAGCAGAAAATGGGGAAGCATTGGGCCCTTGCATCTACATGAAGTTCCCAGCTACCAGCTTAGCCTGGTCCAACCCTAGCCATTGAGGTCATTTCAGGAGTGAACCAGTGAATAAAGAAAAAACTCTGCTTTTCAAATAAATAATAAACCTCCAATATTATGAAAATTTTTTAAAACAATAAAGTTAAATTTTTTTAAAAAGAGATTAATCATGCAGCATCAAGAATGTGCGTACAGGGCCCAGCGTGGTAGCCTAGCAGCTAAAGACCTCATCTTGCAAGCGCTGGGATCCCATATGGATGCCGGTTTGTGTTCTGGCAGCTTCACTTCCCATCCAGCTCCCTGCTTGTGGCCTGGGAAAGCAGCTGAGGACGGCCCAAAGCCTTGGGACCCTGTGCTTGTGTGGGAGATCTAGAACAGGCTCGAGGCTCTGTGTGTGCAGAACCTTATTAGAATTCCAAGCACCTTAAAAGTTTACTTTTGGGGCTGGCATACTGGCATAGCAAGCTAATCCTCTGCCTGCAGTACTGACATTCCATGTGGGCGCCAGGTCAATTCCTAGCTGCTCCACTTCCAATCCAGCTCCCTGATAATGGCCTGGGAAAGCAGAGAAGGATGGCTCAAGTCCTTGGGCTCCTGCAAACATGTGGGAGATCTGGAAGAAGCTTCCAGCTCCCAACTTCACGCCAGCCCAGCTTGGGCCTTTACAACCATCTCAGCAGCAAACCTGCAGATGAAAGCCTGCTCGCTTGCCCTCTAATCCTTTCTTTTTTTTTATCCTGACTTTCAAGTAAAATAAACAAACCTGAAAAAAAAAAACAAGAAGTTTACTTCTGACTTGAACAAAGCATCACAAGCTGCTCTCTTTTTTCGGTGTGCATGTAAGCATTCAGGTTACCTCTGGCAGTCCAGGCACAGAGTGGTCATGCAGGCAGGGCAGTTCAGCACAGCGTCACTATTGGGAACCGGCTGCTGTTGCTGGCGTGGTCTCTGCAGGCCAAACCCATGGTAACTGGAACAGAAAAAGATAATGTGGGAGGGGAAGGACATACCTGAACCTCAACTTGGTTTTTTAGTGCCACCCTCCAAAAAGACGAACCAGGGCTCCCTGGAAGAATAGCTGACTCCAAGAATGTAGCACACAAGACCAGCACAAGGTATTGTGGCACGGTGGGTTAAAAAGTCACCTGGGATACCTACACTGCATATCGGAGAGGCCAGGTTTAAGTTCAGACTAGCTTCTTTATCCAACGTCTCGTCTCGCTACTGTGCAAGCTGAGGGGCAGCAGATAATGGTTCAAGTACTTGAGTCTCTGCCACCACATGGAACACAGCCAGAGTTCTTACAGACGCAGAAAGTCAGGAAGCATTCAACACACAAAAACACAATGAGAAGGCTTTGTCAAAGGAACAGGAGCCAAGTGAAAGGGTTCCCGAAGGCCAAAGTGGAAAACACCTGAATAATCAATCATAAGGGAGCTTCAGCAATCTCTTGGAAGGGGCTGGCACGGCAGTATTGTAAGTTAAGCCCCTGTCTATAGCATCAGCACCCCATATGGGCACTGGTTCAAATCCCACAGTCCAACTTTCAAACCAGCTCCCTGCCCTCCTTGGCCCCTGCACTCATCTAGGAGACCCAGAAGTTTCTGGCTCCTGGCTTTGGATCAGCTCAGCTCTGGCTATTGCAGCTATCTGAGGAATGAACCAGCAGATGGAAGATCTGTCTGTCTTTCCCTCTTTATAACTGTGCATTTCAAGTAAATAATGTTTTGTTTTGTAAGTATCAAAAACTTCATGGAGCATGGAGTTTAAACATTTCAGGAGCAGACAAGGCACAGACACATCCCAGGTCAGGGTGTCGGGGCTGAGTCCCACCTCTGCTTCCAACCCAGCTTCCTGCCAGTGGGCCCGGAACTCAGGGTCCCGTCACTCATGCGGCAGTGAGCAAGAGGATGGAATCTCTATCTCTGCCACTCTACCTTTCAAATAAACACTCTTAAAAGAGAAAAAAGAAAAAAACAATTCATGTTTGGGCTTAGCATTGTGAGACACTGATTAAATGAACCGATAAACAACAGATCTCTCCATCAGCTTTTCAAATAAATAAATGTTAAGATTTACATTCAGAAGTCCAGCATGGTAGTCTAGCAGCTAAAGTCTTCACCTTGCACACACCAGGATCCCATATGGGCACCAGTTCTAATCCCGGCAGCCCCGCTTGCCATCCAACTCCCTGCTGTGACCAGGAAAAGCAGTTGAGGACAGCCCAAAGCCTTGGGACCCTGCACCACCCGCATGGGAGACCCGGAAGAGGTTCCGGTCTTCTGGCCACAGGTTGATGCAGTTGCGACCACTTGGGGAGTGACTCATCGGATGGAAGATCTTCCTCTCTGTCTCTCTTCTTCTCTGTAAATCTGACTTTCCAATAAAAATAAATAAATCTTAAAAAAAAAAAACACATTTTACATAAACTTTTTATAACCCCCTCAATACATTAAAATATAAAAGTGGCCAAGATTATCTTTTTTTCTTCCTTTTTTTGAAAAATATGGAATGCTTCAAGAATTTGCTTGTCATCCTTGCGCAGGGGCCATGCTAATCTTCTCTGTATCGTTCCAATTTTAGTATATGTGCTGCCCAAGTGAGCACAGATTATCTTTTGTTCTAAAGATTCTAAATAAATACTAAATTTAAATTCTTACCCCCATGCAATAAGATATTGTGATGTAACCAATGAATCAACAATCAATGAGAGTCAGATTGCTTATAATCTACATCAAAGAACTGAGAAACCTGATATGCTTTTAATACCCTATGTTATTCCATAATGGGTCAGGAGAACAAAGAAAGCTTCCACCTTCTTAGAGTGTGTGAGGAAGATGTCAAGATTATAACAGGTAACACAGACATCAGACTCAAATCTGCATTAGGCATTAGCAAAAGCTATGAAGACATGCACTGGGATCCAAGAGCGATCCTGACAGCCTCTTACAAGGAGGTCATATGCACAGAACAGGGGGACCCCAGAGTGGAGCAGGTGAACAGGAGGAGGCTTGTGTCCCAGCCCTGGAGACTCCCGGATCCTCACCTAGGACTATCAGTATGGGCACCAAGGACTACATCCCAACTGCCAAGGAGACCACAGGGAATTGGAGTGCCCTCACAGGACAAGAACTCTTCAGGTCATCCATTTCCTAACAGACCTCCCACACGGGATGGAAGAAGCCCACATCCTTCCTCACAGAATCTAATGTCATCAGGACAACAGCCAGGAGCCCTGAGTGGTCCGCAGAAACAGAACAATAAACTTCCTTCAGGACCCGGGAGAGGAGCTTTCTCTGGTCCTAACTTAGTTTCAACTTTGGATCCCTACCCTCTCTTGCAATGACCATCAGGGTTGCTCTGGAGCCCCCCCAAAAAATTAGATCAGATAGACAGAAACCAATAAGGAAAGCTTAGAACAGACAGGAAACGGTCAGCTTGGACTCACACATACCTTACTAGATAGGACACAAAGATTAGTTACTCCTTACTAAGGTATTGAAGATTTCTCTGCACACCCCTCCTAAAACTGTTCTGCGCCTCAATTTTTAACATATGCCTTGTTAGAGCTATAAGCCTCTTTGGACTATCCTAAAATTCGCCAAGTTCAGTAAAAATCACACTTTAAGACTATAAGCTGCTAAAAATAAAAATGAAAATAGACACGAGACAGCTGAATAGTACCCTATAACCATTTTTAGGCATATAGCAGCCAGTTGTGTATAAACTAAAATTGAAATTTCAATGAAGTAGTCACAGAACATGGTTAAGAACTTGCATTTTCTAACATATTAGTCACTCAATACCATATCAACTAACTCCATGATGTTGTAAATTGTTGTTGATGTTGTAAATTGTTGTTGTGGCTTTTCATTGGAGGGGATGATATTCTGCCAGCTCTACTTTCAGACCAGGGATGGTCTCCCAAGGAAACTGTTGAATTGATCTGGACAATAAGATTCTGGACTCTATGCATGGTACATGCCTGCAATGAAGGAATCATGACTGGATATGAACTGTACTACTGCAACAATGTGGAGGAATCCAACAAGGGGGGGGAGGGTTTGGGGAAATCCCAGAGCCTATGAAAGTGTGTCATAAAATGAAATAATAATAATAATAATAATAATAATAAAAATTCTTACCCCCTTCTCTGTGCATCAACCCAGGCCTGGTCTCTGTTGTCTTTTTCAGGATCATAGAGTAATTCATCATTTGTTGGAATCCTGTATCGTTTCTTCTTTTTTTTCTTGGTCTCCCCTGCTAATTTTCAAAATGTTCAGGATTATGGCTAAGTATAAAGTTGAAACTTTACATTTCTTATGCATAATGAAGAATCCAATCTCCCAAACTACAATTTTTTTTATTTTTCCTTCTTTAGAAAGTTTAGAAGAAAACTTTAGAAGTCATTCAAGTAAAGTTTTCAACCAATCAGTAGATTACTAAAACAAAAATGATACAGTAGGCAAAAATTACTTCTTCATCAAAAACTTCTATCTCCAGGACTACAGATAACAAAAATTTAGTCTCAAAAAGATCACTTAAAATGTATCAAGAGGGGCCCGGCAGCGTGGCACCATGGCGCAGCAAGTTAAGCTCCACCTGTGGTGCGGCATCCCATGCGGGCACTGATTCATGTCCCAGTTGCTCCACTTCCCACCCGCTCCCTGCTTACGGCCCGGGAAAGCAGCAAAGGATGGCTTAAGTCCTGCGGCCCCTGCACCTACATGGGAGACTTGGAGCAAGTTCCTATTCTGGACCAGACCCTCTCTGGCTGCGGTGGCCACATCAGAGCGATCAGAGCAGCCAGGTTCAGATCCCAGCTCTGGCTCCTGGCTCCAATTTAAGTTCATCCAAATCTCTAGGACACAGTTGTGATAGCTCAATCACCTGGCTTCCTGCCAGCTCTACTGGCCCAGGACCAAGTGACTGGCTCCCTGGTCTGACCCCAGCTCTGCCTTAGCCACTACAGGTCAGCAGATCAGAGCACTTTCGTCCCTCTGCCCCTCAAAACATCAAATAAATAAAATAAATCTGATGTTACTAAAATCAGAAGAAAAATACTTCAAAAATGAGTTGGGGAAAAACCACCACAGCTATCCACATACACTAGATTTTAAAAATGTGGCCTGACGGGCTCAGTGCAATGGCTCAGTAGCTAAATTCTTGCCTTGTACATGCTGGGATACCATATGGGCACCGGTTCGTGTCCCAGCTGCTCCACTTCCATTCCAGTTCCTTGATTGTGAACTAAGTAAGCAATTTAGAATGGCACAAAGCCTTGGGACCCTGCAACCACATGGGAGACCAGGAGAAAACTCCAGGCTCCTGGCTTCATCAGCTCAGCTCCAGCCATAGCAGGTTTTGGGGAGAGAACCAGCAGACAGAAGATCTTTCTCCCTGTACCTCCTTCTCTCTGAATCTGCCTTCCCAATAAAAACAAATAAATCTCAGACCTGGCACAGTAAAGTACTAGTCTTGCATGCACAGGGATACCATACGGGTGCCAGTTCATGTTCTGGCTATTCCACTTCCCTTCCACCTCCCTGCATGTGACTTGGGAAAGCAGTTAAGGATGGCTCAAAGCCTTGGACCCTGCACCAGCTTGGGAGATCCTGAAGAAGCTCTGGTTCCTGGCTTCAGATCAGCTCAGCTCCAGCCATTGCAGATTCTTGGGGAGTGAACCAGCAGACGGAAGATCTTCCTCTGTCTCTCCTCTCTGTAAATCTGACTTTCCAATAAAAATAAATAAATCTTTAAAATAAATAGGGTCCAGCATGGTGGCCTAATGGCTAAAGTCCTCGCCTTGAACGTGCAGGGATCTCATAAGGGTACCGGTTCTAATCCTCGCAGCTCCACTCCCCATCCAGCTCCCTGCTTGTGGCCTGGGAAAGCAGTTGAGGACAGCCCAAGGCCTTGGGACCCTGCACCCATGTGGGAGATCTGGAGGAAGTTCCTGGCTCCTGGCTCTGGATCGGCACAGCACTGGCCATTGTGGTCACTCGGGGAGTGAATCATTGGATGGAAGATCTTCCTCTCTGTCTCTCCTGCTCTCTGTATATCCGACTTTGTAATAAAAATAAATAAATCTTTTAAAAACATTAATAAATAAATAAAACAAATCTTTAAAAAAGGAAAAAATGTACTCTGGCAAACCAGTAATCAAGTACTATTTAATATGCAAAAATATAAAGTTGGAGGCAAGAGTTTAGCACAGAGAGCTGAGATTCTGCTTATGACACTGACATCCCATGGTTGGAGTACTGGTTGAAGCCCTGGCTATCTGCTTCTGACAAAGCTGCCTGCTAAGGGACCGAGATGGGGTTCTAGGCTCCTGTCTTCACCTTGCTCCAGCCCCATCTACTGCAGATATTTGGAGAGTAAACCAGTGGAGAGACATTCTCTTTACATCCATCTCTGTCTCTGCCTTTCAAATAAATTTTTTAAAATAAAAATAAAGCAGCTGGCACTACAGCACAGTGGGTTAAAACTGACGTCAGGGGGCCCAGAGCAGTAACCTAGTAGCTAAATCCTTGCCTTGCACGCACTGGGATCCCATACGGGTGCTGGTTCATGGCCCGGCTGCTCCATTCCCATCCAGCTCCTTGCCTGTGACCTAGGAATGCAGTAGAGGACAGCCCAAAGCCTTGGGACCCTGTACCTGCATGAAGAGACCCACAAAAAGCTCCTGGCTCTTGGCTTCAGATCAGCTTAGCTCCAGCCAATGCAGCCACTTGGAGAGTGAGCCAGTGGAAAAAGATCTTTCTCCCTGTTTTTCTCTCTGTATATCTACCTTTCCAATAAAAATAAGTAAATTTAAAAAACAAAACAAAACAAAAAACCTACTGCCAGGAATCCCAGCCTCTCATAAGAATGTCAGTGGACATTCTACCTGCTCTATTTTCAATCCAGGCCTCTGCTAATGTGTTGGGGAAAGCAGTAGATGATGGCCCAAGGACTTGGGTGGGCCCTAGCCCCTTGCCAGGGAGACCTGGATGGAATTTCAGGCTCCTGGTTTTGGCAAGGCCCAGGTACAAGCATTGCAGCCATTTGGGGAGTGAACTAAAAATATGAAAGTAAGTTAAGTAGTAATAAACACTATTTGGAAAAAAAAAGAAAAGAAAAGAAAGAAAGAAAAGAAACATTGTTTGGAAGTATGGAAGCAAATATTGCTATTCTGAGGAAACTAACGCATTGGGGAGCCAGGATCTCAGACAAAGGAATTGCTAGGTCCGGACCCTTTCTTCTGGTGGCAACAATGCTGGTGCAGTGCACTCACGCACTACACCCCCAGCTTCTCGGATTAATCAATTCTGCTTCCATTTCCACATCAGTGGCCTATAGTTTCTTAAAAGATAAAACTCATGGGCCCAGCAGTGTGGCCTAAAGTCCTTGCCTTGAACGCACCAGGATCCCATATGGGCGCCAGTTTGAATCCCGGCAGCTCCACTTCCCATCCAGCTCCCTGCTTGTGGCCTGGGAAAACAGTAGAGGATGGCCCAAATTCTTGGGACCCTGCACCCGTGTGGGAGACCTGGACGAAGTTCCTGGTTCCAGGCTTCAGGTTGGCGTATCACCAGCCGTTGTGGTCACTTGGGGAGTGAATGATCGGACAGAAGATCTTTCTCTCTGTCTCTCCTCCCTGTATATCTGACTTTCCAATTAAAAAAAAAAAAAAAAAAAAAGATAAAACTCAGAGGAACGTCTTAATATCAAACAATTGCTAAGCAAAGCTTCCCTCCTAAAATGTAACTGCTAGCCCCGGTAACTACCTGTGTATCACTCACCTGCTCTGTCTTCTTCCTCAGAATCAGAATCAAAATATACATCATCATAGTACTTCGTCACAACCGCTCCACCTTTCCCACTTCCTGAGGAAGACCCTATCAAAACCAGCAATGAAATTAACTCAAAGTAAACCACATAATTAACAAGAGAAATCCTTCATATATTCTTGCATAAAGGACTAGCAACTCATGTACAACCTCGTTTGGAGTGAGGAATATTGTCACATCAATGATTTTACTCCATTTCTTTGGCTTAAGTAATTACAAATTAAATAACCCAAATCGTGATAAAGTTATTCTCTCCCCTTTCCCACAACCATACCTAGACAAAAAAACATTCCTGGCTAGGGAGCCAGCAAACCCCTGCCTTTTAGCATGGAAGCTAATGCTAAGTAGAATTCTCCCTTCCTAAGCCAGCCTCTGGGTCAGGCCCATTTTACACAGAGCCCAAGAACAACAAGGAGGCATGTCCCATCATTATTAAAATGATCAAGGGCCAGGCATGATAGCCTAGCAGTTAAAGTCTTCGTCTTGCACACACCAGAATCCCATATGGGTGCTGGTTCTTATTTCAGCGGCACTGCTTCCCATCCAGCTCCTTGCTTATGGCCTGGGAAAGCAGTCAAGGACGGCCTAAAGCCTTGAGACCCTGCACCCGCGTGGGAAACCCAGAAGAGGTTCCAGGTTCCTGACTTCAGATTGGCTCAGCTTCAGCCACTGCAGCCGCTTGGGTGTGACCCATGAGACGGAAGATCTTCCTCTCTGTCTCTCCTCCTTTCTGTATATCTGTTTTTCCAATAAAAATAAATAAGATCTTTAAAAAAAAATGAAAAGAATGAAATGAACAAGAACTGGTAATGACACCTCTTTAAAAGTACTACATCAGGGCCATCTAATCCCAAAAATACTTCCACAGGCTTTTAAATAAAAAATTCTGAAGTTAAAACAAAAATAACAAAACAAAAATTCTGACATGAAAAACTACAAAAGCAAAGCAAACAATAGTGAAGTCGCTAACACAGCAGGACACTTCTCTTCAGTCATGAAAGAAAATTCTAGCTCAAGTAGCTGACCACACTGATTTCTTCACTCAGTGCTTCCTGAGCAGCTACTGAAAGTGCTCCAGAGACACCAAGCACACACACGGCTTCTGTCTTTATGGAGAATCCAAAAAACAGATGACAACTGAACCCAAAGTTTACCTGTTCCCAGAGAGGATAACTTGTCCTCCATTGTTTTTATGGTAGAGTTTAACTCAGCTTCCATTTCTTTTTCAAATTCATCTTCACTAGATGATTCACTTTCTCCAGTGAGACATTCTCTGAGCAGTTTTCGCTTTTGGTCTGGAGTTCCATGTAAAAGCACATCCACTTCATCTTCAGAACTAACCCAGGTTCAAAAGAGGAAAACATATATAAATATTTACAAAGCAAAATAACTGAAAGCCCCATCATCTCACTAGCCATCAATTTTCCTAAATTTACTTATGTGAGAGACAGAGAAAGCACTCTCACCCACTGGCTCACTCCCCAACCACCGACCTCAGCTGGGGCTGGCCAGGCTGAAGCCAAGGGCCTGGAACTCCATCCAGGCTTCGTGTGGGGGTGGCAGAGACCCACCCTCCACCCAGCCCTCCACACCCCACCCCAAGAATTCATCACCTACTGTGTCCCAGACCCTGCACTAACACAGAACCACAGCCAGGAGGCAGTGCAGGCCAGGGATACAGGCACTTCCATCCGGGACAGAGATGCTTTAACCAGCAGGCTAGACACCTACTTTCCCAAAGGCTACATTTGAAAGATCTAGATCACATATTACCTACAGCTAGACTCACTTAATAGATTAGCCACTTCCAAATATGGCTTTTTAAAAATATTATTAATTTTTATCAGTGAGGCAGAACAGATTTACAGGGTGAAGAGATAGAAAGTTCTTCCATTTGCTGGTTCTTCTCCAAGTGGCTGTAACAGCCAGAGCTGAGCCATTCTGAAGCAGGGAGCTTCTTCCAGGTTTCCTATCGGGTGCAGGGTCCCAAGGCTTAGGGCTGTCCTTGACTGCTTTCCCAGGCCACAAGCAGGGAGCTGGAGCAGAAGCAGAGCAGCCAGGACACCATCAGCGCCTACATGGGATGCCAGTGCCAGGATGCTGGTCCCAGTAAATAAGACCCCTCTCAAACACTAGTATCAGTTTGCCTTCTTAAAATAATACCCACTGGCATGGAGCGCTCAGCAGACAATGCATATAACAACACTCTTTCGGTTCCATAGTACTTATTCACTTATTTGCTTTGACAGAAAGAGAGGGCGTACACTCCTCTCCACAGGCCCCATCCCACATCCCTGCAGCAGCCCGGCCTGGCCAAGGAACTCAATCCTGTCTCCCACTGGTTCCCCGAGTCTACTTTAACAGGAACCTGGAGTCAGGAGCAGGAACAGAACCCAGGCCCTCCCACGCGGGATGTGAGCCCACAAGGTAGGCATTTCAACCAGTGGTCCAAATGCCTGCTCCCCAAACTCCTCTTTACAACACAAAGCCCATGTTGCCATCCTTCCCCAGAGTGAGAAAGCACGGGGAATGAAGAAAAGCGCAACGCCACCAACAACTGTGACAGAGACAACCAATGTTTTAAAGAGGATGAGTGGGGCGTAGCTGTTGTAGTACAGCGAGACACTGGCTTCCTGTACCTGGAGCACCTGCTTCAAGTCCCAGCAACTCTGTGTGTCCAGTGCAACCTGGTCCCAACGCACCTGCAAAGCAGCAAGTGATGGCCCAAGTACTTGCGCTCCTGCCACAGCCTTTCCTTGCAGTGTCTCCTCCCTCTCCTCCTTCCCCCCATATCTTGGTCTCTGGCAGAGATTCAGAAAAAGAACCAGCAGACAGAAGATCTCTGTATGCTTAACTCTTTCAAATAAAGAGAGGCAGGATTCGAGCCCACTGGGCTGTGCAGGACGAGGGCCGTGCCCGTGGCTTCTCCCTACCCCCTCACCGGCGCCGCCTGCCCAGGGCCAGCGTGTCCCCACCGGGGGCTCCCCGACCCTCGGCCGCCCATCGCGGGGGGCAACAAGCAGCGGACCCTCGAGCGGAGCTGGAGACCCCACGGCTCAGCAGGTGCAGCGACGGGAGGCGGCCAAGCTTCAGTCACGGTCTGGAGCCTGGCAGAGCAGAGCGGGGCCCAGGGCTCACCTGCTCAAGGCCGGGTCCTCGTCGCTGGGCTCTTCCACCGCATAGGGGTCGTTGTCATCCGACAGCCGGTTCATGGCGGCCGGGAGCGGCGTCCTCAGGCCGCACACACTCTTTGTGGCGTCGCTCTTCACTCCGCCAAGCCTCTCCGAAAGCGTCCGCACGCCACTTCCGCCCGTACTTCCGAGTCCTTGCTGCGCGCTTGCGCACAAGGCTCCTGCCAGAACGAGGGCGGAACCGGTGGGCGGGTTCCAAATCTCCCCGGGAGCTGCGGCCTCACTCTGAGGGAAGAGAGGCAGCTCTGTAGGACTCGGAGAAGGGCGTCTCCGGAGGAGGTGAAAACCCGGAGGCAGCGTCTAGGACCACTAGCAAAGCCGAAAAGTAGCTGCGGAGTCAGAAAAAAAAAAAACAACCAGCTTTTTCGACGCCTCACTCTGACCCATTCCTGTTTGTGCCCTCCTTAATTCTACTCTGCTTGAACAGCCAACGTGAAGGATGCCTGAGATCTGCAAATTTTACCTCACCCTGAACCCCACTACTAGTCCTTCCAGATGCCTAACCTGCCCTGGCCCACCCACTGTCACGCTTCTCATCACCTACTAGCTGCCACCTCCTGCTGCCTCCTCAGCAACTCAAACTTGGTGTGGTTCCAACCCAGCCCAGGTCCCGCTCTTGCCTGCACCTCAGCCCTGCACTGCTTCTGGCTCAGTTTCTGCTCAGGCCAGCCCCTCCATCCTCACACCTGCCAGAGGCTGGATCTCCTGCAACCCCGCCGCCTTGCTCTCTGTCCCTGAGCTCAGCTCCCAGGGCCTGGCATCCTAGCACTGTCTCCTCCCGCCATGTCCCCACTGCCTCCCGCCTGTGAAGCTTGACAACAGGCTCCCCCTAGCAAGTCTTCTGTTGGCTTTTCTTGCAAAATCATCTTGTACCTGGGGGACCATGCTTTTCTCGGGCCTCAAAGCATCTTGCCCAAGCCATGTCCTTCCACCCCGACCTGGAGCCAGCACGACTGGCGGATGCGGAATCTGTGTCTTTGCCCCCTCACAGCCTGTGCTGCTGCCCGAGGCACCCTCTCCTTGAACTTTGTCATGTCTGCAGACCAAAGCTCCGTCGGCAGGATGCACATACAGCAAGAACGACCCTCAGAACACTTGCAGCCCAGACAGGTGGGCTTCCAGGCACCCACCCTGCACGTTCTCCAGGACGCATTTTTAGATTCCCCGCTCCTGGACGCTCGCTCCTCCATCCACCCACTTGAAAGCTCAGGGTGCGTGCGCCATGCCCACATCTTGTCTGGTTTTCAGTTACTCTTCATGCCAACGCCCTTGCGAGGCATCAGGGGTCTCCATCAAGGCAGCAGAAGGAGCAGCGGTGGTGCAGCAGGTGGAGCCACGATGCACAGCCATTCCAAAAGTGCCTCGTTCACAGTTCTCTCCACAGGCCACCCCACAGTTCTCTCAACTTGGTGCTGAGGTCCTGCCATCCGCGTGGGAGACTCAGTTGGAAGACCTGACTGCTGCAGGCACCTGGGGAGTGAGCCAGCAGATGGGAGAGCTATCCCAGTGCACACTCTGGCTCTCCTGCGGAGAGATTCTATCACCCTGCCTTTCAAATTTTTTAAAAAAAGAAGAAGAAGAACAAGAAGAAGAAAGAAGAAAAATATAAGCAGGGGAGGGGTGAGGGATGGCAAGTTAAGCCTACACCTGTGGTGTCAGCATCCCACGTTGGCACCGGTTCTATTTCGGGCTGCTCCACTAGTGACTCAGCTCCTTGCTGATGGCCTGAGAAAAGCACTCACTCCCCTCATGTGTGTATGTGAATGTGCGTTGTACCTGTGTAGAACTGAAATAAAAATGGAGTCAGCATGGCTCATTGCTAAGTGCAATACTTCTCCCTTTTGTAACTCCTGCTTTGCTTGCTTGGCTATGAAACTGTATGAGACTCTGCAAGTGAGCCCCCACGTGACCTTCAACAAGTATGGTTCCCACTTCCCAGGGATTCACTTATGTCAACTCTGGTTATGTCACGGACGTTGCCAAGGCCTGACTCTGGTTATCTAGACTGCCGGGCCGCAAGGGAGTCGGGCACAGGATGCCCAGCTGGGACAGGCAGGGACCACACAATGCCTCCCTGCTCTCCTGCTACACTATGCAAGCCGTTGTAAAGTGGCCCTATAAAACTGTAAATGTGGTGTTCGGGGCCGCACTCCCGTAAGGGGTGTCAGTCCGGTCGGTCAGTCGGTGGGTCGGTCGGCTTGCTTCTCATTTAATTATAGTTTGTTGTGACTGTCACTGTTTTAGCACTCAGTGGATGCAACACTTTTTTTTTTAATTTTTTTTTTTAATTTTTCAAAGAAACTTCCGAGAGATGGTGAGGGGTTCACTGTGGTGGTTGGACTCTCCAGGCCACGGCCATCGCGGGGCCTCCGGTGCCTGCGACAGCAGCAAGAGAAGCTCAAGCGTCCGCCCAGAAGACGCTCTTCCTGACTCCTAACCAGGCCGGCCTCAGTGGCCGCTTCCTCCGACGGGCTCCTTGGAAGGCCACGGGCGCAGGTTCCAGGCCCCGGCCCCCAGGTACCTGGGGGAGCCCCGAGATACTGGGGGAAATTGGGGAGCAAAGCCGCAGGTGGAGGCTTTGTTCCCGCGTGTGTCTCGGCTTGCCTTTCCCATCGACAACAAATGGAAGTATCAAGCCCTCAAGCCCCAAATGTTCCCGGCATCCGCCTGGTCCCCTTGTGCTTCCGGGCGCGCTTGCTCCCATCCATGGCCTCTTGCCTTTCCCTGTCATTACACACAAACACCCCGACAGGAGGAGGGCTGGCTTCTCCTCAGTGCCAGACCTCTGGTTCTGCCGGGAACGAGCGTGCTCCGCGCCCACCCGGGGCCTCGGCTGGGGACGGAAAGCCTTGGCAGACGCCCGCCCGCCCGCGGACAGCAGGGCTCAGCCTCGAACCCGCGACCCGACCTGCCGCACCTGCCGGGACGGGGGCCACACGGAGTGGGAACGGTGACCAGGCCTGGTCCGTCCTTGCCGGGCGGCGGGGACGTGGCGGGAGTCCCTGCAGGCCCCAGCCCCGCGTCACAGAAGCTCGTCCAGAGCCGCGGCTTAGCGTGCCGAGCACGGGACCAGGGACGGCGACCAGGAGCGCAGCTGCGGGGACGTCACGGTCCGGGGCGTGTCGCATGCAGATGAGCATGGCGCGCAGAGGCTGCCGGTCCTGCTGCGTCCGGCGTGAACGTCCCGCGTGGGCGTGCGCGCAGGGTGTTGTTGGGCGCGCGTGTGTTTGTGGAGGGTTGCTGGAGGAGCGGGCGGCGCGTGGTGTTGGCGACGCGGGTGTTGGCGGTGGGCGTGTGTTGAGAGGGTGTGGGTGCGGGTGTTGAGTGTGTGTGTGTGGCGTGCTCAACTCATACTTACCTGGCAGGGGAGATACCATGATCACGAAGGTGGTTTTCCCAGGGCGAGGCTTATCCATTGCACTCCGGATGTGCTGACCCCTGCGATTTCCCCAAATGTGGGAAACTCGACTGCATAATTTGTGGTAGTGGGGGACTGCGTTCGCGCTCTCCCCTGATATTCCTTGTGCCGAATATCAGACTGATAAGTGTTTGCTCATTTATGACGCTTGACTAAGGTTCGGTGCTACGGTCTTCAGAATCTTGACCGCGTTAGTTTTCTTTTTTATCCTTGATAGCTCATCTCTCTTTAAAGGTCTTGCCATCTTTGATAGCGGAAAAGTGAAGATCTTTTTTCTGTCTCCCTCCCCTTTCCAATGAGGGATTGGATTTCAAATATTAAAAGACAAACGCAAATCCAAAAATAGCTGATTCCAGCACGTGTTAGTTTTGCCTGCCTAAGACAAAAGCAACCACGTCCACCACAAAGGAGCAATGGTTGAATCTACCCAACGCGGTGACTAAAACCTACCTTCTCTTCACTTGCCAGTTGTATCCTCGTAACCCCGCTATTCACTGGGCAGGGCATCCTGTTCGTGCTAATTGGCTAAGAACGGACTTCCGGTGACTCTCAGGTCGCAAACATGAAAAAGCGGCAGAGATTTCTTTCCGTATAAAAGTTGCTGAAGGGCCCGGCGCAAGTGGTCCTCGCCTCGCATTTCGGGATCCCATATGGGCGCCGGTTCTAATCCCGGCAGCCCCGCTTCCCTTCCAGCTCCCTGCCTGTGGCCTGGGAAAGCAGTCGAGGACGGCCCAAAGCTTTGGGAACCTGCACCCGCGTGGGAGACCCGGAAGAGAATCCTGGCTTTGGATCGGCATAGTATCGGCCCGTTGCGCTCACTTGGGACGGGAAGATCTTTCTATCTCTCCTCTCTGTAAAAATAAATCCTAAAAAGAAAAAGAAGTTGCTGAAACTTTGTAACTACAGCCTATGAGGGAAGAAAAGAAGCACTTGAGAAAGAAAAATACACTGACGTAACACTTATCAGTCTGATATTCGGTACAAGGAATATCAGGGGAGAGCGCGAACGCAGTCCCCCACTACCACAAATTATGCAGTCGAGTTTCCCACATTTGGGGAAATCGCAGGGGTCAGCACATCCGGAGTGCAATGGATAAGCCTCGCCCTGGGAAAACCACCTTCGTGATCATGGTATCTCCCCTGCCAGGTAAGTATGAGTTGAGCACGCCACACACACACTCAACACCCGCACCCACACCCTCTCAACACACGCCCACCGCCAACACCCGCGTCGCCAACACCACGCGCCGCCCGCTCCTCCAGCAACCCTCCACAAACACACGCGCGCCCAACAACACCCTGCGCGCACGCCCACGCGGGACGTTCACGCCGGACGCAGCAGGACCGGCAGCCTCTGCGCGCCATGCTCATCTGCATGCGACACGCCCACACCTCCCCTGCCGCCCCGCCCACCCGCGGCTCGCGCACCGCCCGCGCTCGCGGACCTGGGACCTCCGGGCCAGACCCCGCTGCCCGCCGGCCGTGGAGGGCCTGGGTAAAGGCACGGGCTGACTGCCGTCCCGTGCTGAGCCACTCGGGAAAGAAGCAGCCGTGGAGCCTACCTTCCGTGCGTGGGGACTGACTGCGTTATTTCAAGGGACACTAGTTCCTGGCAAGCTGGGGCCACTCCTGGTGCTCTGAAACCCCGAGGGGGGATGGTCGGCATTCTGAATTGCAGCTCAAGATGAAGGCAAACTAGCTGAAGGCAAACCACGATGCAGCGCAGCA